TAAAGATGGTTCTCAAAGGAGTAAATAGAAGTCAAATTAGTTTCACACACTATTAAATGTAAAGGAGAAAATATGATTCATTTGAGATACTTACAGGGGTTAATTACATTTGCTTTTAATAATTTATAAATATTTAGAGCTTTATTATTGTTTTCCACAAATACTGTTAAGCAAATGAATTTGAAAATTTAGTGCTCCAATTTCAGAAAACACAGTTTTTTTAAATTTAAAGAGTAACTTAACAAGTGCCATCTCAGTTAAAGGAAATAAAACATTTCAAGAATTTATTATTATAAAAACATGTAAACAAATAAAAATGTGGGCCTTAATATATTTTATGTGTTGCATTAAGAAATTAGTTCTTTAAAGCACTCGAAACACAAAACGTATGACATTTCAGAAAAATAGTTTAATTAGAAAATGGGTATTTTCTGAAACACTACTTAATATATGTGGATGTATTATGGAACAGGACTGTTATCTTCAGATAATTAGATGACCTATGAAATAGTCACCATCATCATAAAAATCTACTCCACATAAGCTTATGTATAACAATATCTAAAAAGTGCCACTTTGTATTGCAGGGCTCTGTAGCAAGATTTCTCAGCGTTGGCCCTGTTAACCTTCTCAGCCAGATAATTCTTTGGGGCTTGTCATGTGCTGGTTATGTAGCAGCATCTCTGGCCTCTACTAGATGTCCGTAGCATCCCCCACCGCCATCCCACTGTTGTGATCATCAAAACTCTCTCCCAGCAGTGCCAAAGGCTCTTACAGAGCAAAATAATCTCAGGTTGAGAACCATGGCTCTATAAAAATCATACTTGACTCCATTTGAGCTGCCTTTATACATTATTTTAGGCTTAATATTTGCTTATGTTATTCATAATTATTACAGATAATTTAGGCAGTCTATTTATGCTTCCTTTCTAGAAGCTTTGTATAATACTGTAGCTCAAAAGACTATTAGTATACCATCTCTGTCAGACAAAAATATTATTTACTATTAATGAATGAATGAATAAAAGTTATTTTAGGAAACTCTTCAGAAGACTTAAAATAATGAGAAGTTGAAACATCTAATGTGGCTGAAAACACAAATTTTTGGAACTACTAACCATCTCTTTGGCAAACTCCATACAGGAACTACACTTTAGAAAGTAATGGAAAGAGATAAAACTCATTCTTGAGATTAATTAAAATCTAGGTATGTTCAATATGGCATTTTGCATGGTCTTTGCTGGCTGTATTTGTAGAACACCCTGCCTATGAATGGATTTATTTTGTTGGTGGCTGTCAAACTCACTGATAGCTATTTTTATTTTACTTTTTAGAAATGGAGTTATTACATCCAAGGGAGAGCGCAATAAATTCAAATATACCTGGAAAATTAGGTGCCTTTTTTTTTTTTTTTAAAGATTTTATTTATTTCTTTGACAGAGAGAGACATAGCGAGAGCAGGAACACAAGCAGGGGGAGTGGGAGAGGGAGAAGCAGGCTTCCTGCGGAGCAGGGAGCCTGATGTGGGACTCCATCCCAGGACCCTGGGATCATGACCTGAGCCGAAGGCAGACGCTTAACGACTGAGCCACCCAGGTGCCCAAATTAGGTGCCATTTGTATCCCAAACTTTGTTGAAACTATTTCAAAAATATAAAACCAGATTAGTTTTTCTGACTTCCTTATGTGCACTAATTTCTGTATGGGAGTTAGGATCTTGATAACAGATTGCCAAAAGGTAACTCCTGAATATTGAGGACTATTAATCCAAATAAAACATTTTTTTAAAAGTCTTTGCCTCTCTAAGTCCAGACTTTTCAGTTCAGGAAATAACCTTTCTCCATCACTACCTCTCAACCCCTTCCATCTTTATCTGTATTTTTGTATTCATCTCCATGCTTGTGCTTATAGTATATTTGTACCAAGAAAGCCTTACTCTTCTACCTTAACTCATGAAAATTATAGTTATTTTCAGTTTCTCTTTAAATTTCACTTTTTCATGAGTTCATTTGAAATGATTCTGAACCATAAAGTGCCTTCTCCCAATTTTTCTTTCTCTTATTCCAGTTTAGCTCAATCCTTGACTGTTTTTCAACCCATACACTCTTTGAACAGTTATCTTCTCTATGTATACACGATGACTCCTACATCTTTAAATTCAACCTAGAACTGTGCCCTGGGTCCCTTCCTGCATATTCCTCCTAACTGTACACAGTAGTTTGAATATTCCACAGAGCATCTATCAGAGTTCAGCCAAGAGACAGGAACCATTTCAGGCATTTGGTAACAAAGGCGATGGAAGAAAGAGAAGCCAGATAGAAACTAGCAACAGCAGGAAGTCACTAGTATCTTAGGGGTGAAGAAACTCAGTAAAGGGAAGGTTTAACAAGAATCCCCAAAGTCCTGGGAGAGCTCAGGCCGTGGCGGGATGGGGAGTAAGGTGAGAAGCTAGAAGAACAGAGGACATGGCAGTCACTACCAGAAAATGGATCTTTCACATCCAGGCAGACCAAGAGAAAAAAATCTTGACTACTCCCCTCTTCCTCCCCTCTTCCTCCCTCCTTTTTGTCCTGGCTTGCTAAAGCCATTTAGCAAGGGAGGCAGAGAAATGCCCTAAGGGAACTAGGGAATAGACCTGAGTATAAATAAGCAAGGGCTGGAACTCAGAGGCATCAGAAATGCAACATAATTTCATTAAAGTCATTTTCCTTAACCCTAACGCAAATCCATTGCTCTGTCAGAGTCCCATTAACGGAATTAACATTTACATGGCTCCTTTTTAAATTTTTTTTTTTCATCCTCCCTTAATTCTTCAATGTGTCATCACCTCTTCACAGTTTTAAGTCTGGAGTATTTCTAGAATTTGCCATGTCCTCTTCATCCCTACTGCTGTGACTTTGTGCCTATCCTTCATGAATCTCTACTTGCACCTTTGCCAGGCCTCCCACTAGCATCTCTGCCTCCAGTCTTTTCATAACTGCCAGCAGAATTCCATCTGGAATATGAATGAAACCATGAGATTCTCACATATATATATAATATATATATATAATATATATACATATATACAGATATGTATGCATGTGTGTATATGTATTTTAAATTATCCTTCACCTCAAGACTAAAATCTTAAGGCCTCAAACTGGTATGATATGGCTTCTGACTCCCATTTTTTCCCATCCTCACTTACCATCTTTTTGTCCTCAGCCTCTGCTCAGTCGTATTAAATGGCTCATAACACCATTGACTGTTACACATTTCTCTGTCTTTACATATATTGTTTCCTTTGCCCAGCTAATTCCTAGTGCTTCTATAGGATTCTGTTCAAATACCTCATTTTCCATGAATCCTTTCTCTGAAACTTTTTTTCCAGACTCGGTTGTTTTCCCATCACTGTGCCTGAATGTAACTCTATTTGTATTTACCTCCATACCTCTTAAGAATATATATATCTCCCATATTCAACCAGACTATGTACTTCTCAAGGGCGAGTACTGTGTTTTATTTACCCTTGTATCACTAGAACATGGAAACATGCTAGGCCTGTTGCAGATGCTACACAAATGCTCCTTAATTGGAGAATGGCACATTTCTAGTGCTCTTATGGTCCATTAAAACACTTCTATTCTGGTTGTATGCATGCATTGGTGTGCATGTGTGTGTTCATTTTTTTTTTTTTTTGGTAAGTATTTGACATATAGATTGTCATTTAAGTGATTTAAGAACAAGTGGGAATATCTACAGATAGCTATCTACACAAAACTACTGTGTAAAATAGAAATAATTATAATCATGAAATAACTTCTGGAGGCAAATTAAATTGAGACAAAAATTCTTAAATAATTTTAATTCTGAAAAGTCAGTGCCCCACTTTTAATTTAGTATTTAATTTTAACAAAAAGTGCCCCCAAATTTAAAACTATATTTTAATTCATATTATAGCATCCTTGCTTATTTATACAACTATATGTAGTAGATGTCCATTTTTCTTGGGTTTGAAGGGATTTTTCCAATTTATTTTTTTAAGATTTTATTTATTTATTTGAGAGAGAGGGAGAGCGTGAGCACGAGTAGGGTGTTGGGGGTTAGGGGCAGAGGGAGAGGGACTTCCAGATACCCCATTGAGCATGAGGTTGAGGCTGGCTCAATCCCAGGATCCTGAGATCATGACCTGAGCCAAAGTCAGATTAACCGTTTAAGCCTCCCAGGTACCCCGATTTTCTAATTTCTTATATAAAATATTATGTTGTAAAATTGTAGTTTTATATTTAATTATAAAATATATAGCTTTAATAGAAATTTTATTAGTTTTTTTTTACCATAAGCACAAACTATGCCCAATGTCTTTTAGAGTTTAAATGAGAGAGAATATTTATAATACACAAGACCTATTTGGTTAATACATAGTGTAAAATATTATATTAACAAAATATGTTTTTAAAAAAGTAGAAAAATGGATAAAATAATTTGAACAGGCAATTCACATACACACAAAAAATTATAAATGCCTAATAAATATAAGAGTTTCACAACTTCACCAGAACTGAAAGAAGTACAATTTATAACGGTTTGCCATTTCTGGACCATCAAATAAAAGTAAATTAAAAATAATATTGTTAAAAATAATTCAAACATTTCTTCAGGGCTCACTACCATGACCAGAGTACATTTTCTGACTCCGTATTCATGTTTTTATCAGTGCCTAATGTAAAATGAGTTCTATTGAAAATTATTTTAAGTAATCATTTCTGAGGGAAAGTGTAGGAAAAAAATAAAAAACATATTTAATGATTTTTGTGACCTGTATAAAATACATTTAATGCAATCGACCCAAAGTGATTGAAATAAAATACAAATATATAAAAAATTATAAAGGCAAATGAGATACAACTGCATTATATGTTCATAAAAAAGGGGGGAAGAGAACACTTTGTAAAGAGAAGTGGTAAAGCCTTTTAGTCTTTTCCCACTGAATCTTAGACTTGAAAAAATGTAAGCATAGTGCTCGCTTTGGCAGCACATATACTAAAATTGGAACGATACAGAAAGATTAGCATGGCCCCTGCGCAAGGATGACATGAAAAAATATAAGCATAAAATGTTTAACCTTTTGTGGGAAGAATTTTTTAGGGAAGCAATAGAATATAGTGTTTACAATTGGCTAAGAGTAGAATTTCCTCCATTGGACTCCATGAGTTTGATTTCTGGCTCCATCACTTATTAACTGTGGGATTTTGAGGCAAATAACTTAAACGCTGCATCTCAGTTTTCTTATCTGTAATATGCAAAAATAGTATTACCTCACCCATAAAGTTCTTATAACCACTAAATAAATATAGAGTTAAAAATGTACCTGGGTTGTAGTGAGCACTTAATAGTTGTTACCTGTTTTCCTATTTATTAATAAAAAGTTGCTTTTCCTTTTTAAAAAAGATTTTATTTATTTTATTTTAGAGAGAGAGAGTGTGAGAGCAAGCTGGGGGAGGGGCTAAGAGAGGGAGAGAGAATTGCAAGCAGACTCCAGGATGAGGGCAGAGCCACACATAGGGCTCGATCTCAGGACCCTGAGATCATGACATGAGTGGAAACGAAGAGTCAGGTGTTTAACTGAGTGAGCCACCCAGGAACCCCTGCTTTTACTTTCTAAACCATATCACACATTTCTTAAATATGTATTATGCTAAAAGTCAAACATTTTAAAGATTTATGTATTTATTTGAGAGAGAGAGAGCATGAGTGGAGGGGCAGAGGGAGAGGGAGAGAGATTCCCAAACCGAATCTTTGCTGAGTGCGGAGCTTGACTGGGGGGCTCGATCTCAGGGCCCTAGATTGTGATCTGAACTGAAACTAAGAGTCAGAGGCATAACCAACTGCACCACGTAGGTGCCCCTGAAAATCAAATATTTGAATACATATTTTTATATTATAGAATCTACTTAATCACACATTGCCTTTTTGGAAAGTATAACTGAGCAGAAGTAACTTTGTCTATTTTATAAGATGCCTCAGTGTCTGAGAAATATATAAAAAATATAAATAGTGGACAACCCAATCAATTTATATGATTCATGTACTCAGTATAATGGTCAAAGAATTTCAGTGGTCTAGATTCATTACACACATATGCCAGCTACCTAAAATAAAATAGGTTTGTGTGAAATCATCCTGAATTTGAATTCCAAAGTTTGAATTTCCCCTACAATGATGTCTTTTATCACTGCTACTAATCATTTTCTTGACAGGATATAGGTAAATATAGGGATATAATTTGTCCATTCACTGTTTATGAAGGAAGTACATCGCATCATTTTAAATTCCCAGAAAAATGCATGACCTCAATATCTGGAATCATATAACCTTTAAAGATAGTCACAAAAGTCATGACTTTTCTCTCCCAAGTCTGCACACATATTCATGCAATTTTCCACATAATAACAGAGTGCTCAAAGATCCCCTGACATTGTACATAAACAATTTAATATCCTGAGGGGGGCGCGGGGAACTCAAGGAAGAAGATTGTTTTACACAATCATGTAAATGTAAATAATTTATAGCTGTGCCATTTAAAAGTATAAAACTGATAAATAACTAAATGTAAAAGCATCTAATTAAAATTTTCTCGGCATGAATATTCTGTCACTGAACTATATTCATCTTTTACCACTTGCATGCCATCCAGTTTTACGGTGTGGTGAGAATGGAATATCTGTCTTTGGAAAATGACAGCAAAATACCATTTTAAATCATTTCCTTTTTCTTCCCAGCTTATCTCAGTTTTTGTCTGCCTTTCACAGAATAATTTACTGAGAACCAGTTTATTAGGCATCATGTACAAATATGAAAAAGTAAACAGTGAGGGACAGATATAGATCTATATGATTGTCATCAAATTGCAAATTTTGTCCAAGGAGCACTTTTGTTACGAGAGGCAATGAATTATCCAGAACAAATGACATTTGTCCTTTGAAAGACAATGCTTACTCCTTTATAGATTTGAAATGTAGAATGTTTTTAAATAAGTGCTATGTGTTATAAAAATTCACAATATTTAAGGAGACAAATGATAGTTTATATTTTAAGTATATATTACTCCATCTTTTTTAGTCAAAGAAGGTGTTTAACAGGGCACCTGGGTGGCTCAGTTGGTTGGGCATCTCCCTTTGGCTCGGGTCGTGATCCCGGGGTCCTGGGATCGAGTCCTGCTTCGGGCTCCTTGCTCTGCGGGGAGCCTGCTTCTCCCTCTCCTCCCCACTTGTGCTCTCTCTCACTATCTCTGTCTCTCTCTCAAATAAATAAATAAAATCTAAAAAAAAAAAAAAAGAAGGTGTTTAACAAAGAAAACACCTGGCACATTATTGTTAAAATATATCATTTTAAGTATGAAATGTAGAGCTGATTTTTCCATTATTTCTGTAGCTAATGATATTGTTTCTTGTCATTTTGTTTGTGACAGAGAAACTAAGTAAATAGATGTTATCAAGTTATTTCTTATTTCTTGGTGTAATTTTCTGGTTATATGACTGCTTATTTAAATCACTTAAGGGGCGCCTGGGTGGCTCAGTCATCTGCCTTCGGCTCAGGTCATGATCCCAGGGTCCTGGTATTGAGCCCCGAGTCAGGCTCCCTGCTCAGTGGGGAGTCTACTTCTCCCTCTCCGTCTGCCCCCTCCCCTGCTCATGCTCACTCTCTCTTGCTCTCTCACTCCCTTGCTCTGTCTCTCCCTCACTCTCTCTTAAATAAAGAAATAAAACCTTAAAAAAAAAATCACCTAAGTTTTTGCTACTAGGGCTTTGTTACAACTTTGGCTACATGATGTGTCTAATCAGTTGCTCTTAGTTTACTGTAAGTGACATTATAAGGTAGTTGGCATCCTTGGATCTAACACAACTGTTGTAAGAGGTACATTTATTCATTCCCAGTGTTTACATTTAGTCAGTAAAGGAGGTGAGGGGAGAAAGGGAAATATTTATTAAACAACTGTGTAATTAATGATCTAAAGTAAATGTTGCTTCAAAAAAATATGACAGTAATCTTCAGTTGTTTGGTAGGAGGAGAATGGATAGGAAATTCGTAAACTCTTAAAACAATAATGAAAAAAAAACCCTGAAAATATGTCTTTCCTACCATTCTTCCCTACTGGTCACCTTGTTATCTACTCTTATATATTATGAAGATTAAAAGAAATGGTGCCATGTACTTTAGCTCTCTTGGCTCACCTTTTGAAGTTAAGCTTTCCTATCTTCTTTCCTTCTTCCTTAAACAGTCTGTTCCTGATTCTGAATAAATATATATTTAAGGAAGTAATGACAATATGTTATATTTTCATATATGACTGAGGAATCACAACTCAGTACCAAGACTAATAATGAGACTCTACTCGACTCTGCCTGGGCTTCCCCTTACTTTCTTTCCTTGATATTCAGATCCCTCCTCCAAGTACAACCCTTTGTGCACAGATTATGGTTTCTGTTCTTGACATCCACCCACAACCTGTACTCTCTGCCTGGCTCGTTTCCTGATTGCTGATCAGTGTTTCTGCTGCCTGGAATGCCATCTCTCATGTTTTCTCTCTCCCAGTGAACACATAACTCAAGGTCTAACTTGACTTTACACCTCTTTGTAGCTTTCCCTCATCTTCCCAGTTAGAATCACACTTGCACCTCTGTGCGTCTGAAGCCCTCTGTTATTCACCAAGCTGCCTCACAGAAAGGTGGATGTATTTCAGTCCATTGTTCCAAATAGTCTGAGATCACTGAGCTCTAAGTCCCCAGGCTAATCATGTTTATTTTCCCCCAAAACTAGACAGTGACATGTACTTGTCACTTGATGACTGTTTGATTTGAATATCTGTGCCTTATTCTACTCTGGCTAGTTTTTATCAAGTGCCTTGCTTGATAAAAAACACAATTGTCTCTATCTCTTGGTCAATTAATTGAGTTTCCTACTCCTATCACTTGGCTTTCTGCTATTCTAGTGGTTCTTTCTCTTCCCCTGACTCCTTGATCTGTTGCCACCTGACACCATGAGAACTTAATATCCCTCATGGTGCTCTGCTACATAATGATAATACACATCTTGCAGGCCAAGTAATTATATTTCCTGCAAAGCTGCCACCTCCCTTAAATCTTATTTGTGTTTCACAGAGCAGGATCTGAATTTAATGTAGAGTTTATTGTCCTCTCTTACATGCATCTTCCATTGTTTTTATTTATATTCCTCTGGATATCTCTACATATATTCTGTTTTTATTTTTCTCAGAAGAAAATACATTCATATCCTAAAATGAATATGAGAAGAGTATAATCATGCTGATTCTTTGGCATTATATTACTGCTGGTCTTCAAAGTCCTTTTAATTGTAGTCATTTTTGAACACAGAGATCTGCTGTGGGCAATCTGGCAGTGGCAATTAGACCCAAGAACATAACCATACTGAAATACTGGTTATTTCCAGTGAAGCAGCATCTTATTGAGACAATTGGAAACAAATGATAAATGCTAACACATGGTTTCTGGGTATGTTTTTAAAGTGTTGTAGGTCAGTTTTGGCCAATATTCACATACTCATTCCTCACCTTAGTCTTGAATATTTGTTTGCATTACATTGAAAAATACTGTTATAGGTGACTGAATCTTACTAATAGCTGAGAACTAGTATCCCTTGAGTATTAATTCTGATAGGTTACAGGTCAAGTAAAACATTATCCATGTAGTAGAAGATTCATTTACTTTGGATGTTTATATTTTCTAGACTTTCTTCTCTTGAGATACTTAGAATTTCAAGTAGTATTTAAAAGTGTACAGTAAGTTATAAAAATTAGTATGTTTAAACAAGGTAAAATTTTAAATTCTGACAACAAAGATACCATCAACAACTGAAATATGCTTAAAGCCATTAATTTGTATATGAAAGAGAAAAAGGAAAATAACCCCATAAATACATGGAAAAAGGATATCAATGGGCAATGCACTGAAAAGGATATCTTGAATGGCCAAGGTATATGTGAAAAAGTGCTCTTTGTCCTAGAATCTAAAATATGTAAGTTAAAACAAAAATAAGGTAGCATCTTAAAACCACTGTATTAGTTTTCTACACCTCCTTAAC